CGAAAATTAATGATGCACTCGAGGTGCACCGAGCTGACGAGAAACTTGAAGCGGAATATGTCGTGGCAGCCGAGTATAATGACCAAGCCATCAGCATGTTCACCGAGATTCGCTGCAAAATAGGTTGTTTAGGACGCGCGGACAGCACAGCAGCGACTGCTCCTGAGAACGCAACCACACCGCCTTCTGACGCTCCAACCATTATGGGCCCAAGACTGGCGCACCTTGACTTGCCAACATTTAGAGGCGATAGTCACGAGTGGACAGCTTTCTGGGAGCAGTTCCAGCAGACTATTGATCTTAACAATACAATGTCGATGACGGCGAAGTTTTTCTGTCTGTGGCATTAACTTGAGACTGAAGCGGCAGCTGCGGTTTCTAGGTTCTCCACTTACGAATCGTGTTGCACTGACGCCATAGAGCTACAGAAAGATTGGTTCGGTGATTGGAATAGAATCGTGGAAAACCACCTGTTAGCGCTTCGCAATCATCCACATGCCAAGTCAGAAAGCAACGTATGAAGCCTTAGGCCGTTTAACGACTCTTTGCAGCTCAACGTACAATGTTTCGCTGCACTAAACGTGCCAACGATAACGTTCTCGGCTATGTTGATTGACACTATACCAGAGACTTTGCCATACGAGATCGTTCTAGCATACATCAGAGCAAAGCGCAGTGAGCCTTTAGGAAAACACAAGCCTTCTGCGAATGCCTCAGACCCAGAACTCGCCATTGCAACCTCGGATTCTGAGTTATTAGAGCTGCTCATGTGCATCCGTATTAAATTGGAAAGTCGAGAGTAGTGTCGGCTATTCTCAGAACGACCTGTTATTAGCCTCACTCTCAGCCATCAAAGAGACCAAGACGAAAGCACCAGCACCACTTCTGTACTTACACAGCGCATATAAGAACTGACGTGAGTGTGTTTTCAGTAAACTTGAGGAACCTTGCACACGCACCTGTGACGCCAAACTTTTGCTCATTTTAAATAAAGAAGAACTAGCTGAAGACAGGCGCTGCTACTGAAGTACGTCACGAGGTCAGCTGGCAAGCTCTTGCAACGTGAAGCTTAAGTGCTCAGCTTTTCACGGAAAGCACGCATCGAGTATGCGTGACGCTAGCTACGTAAGAAAATTGGCTACAGCTGAAACGTCCTCACCAGCTGAGGCTTCTGCTATCATAGTAAGGACGTCGCACTCAGCAATTATGTGTCAAGAACTCCTCACGTGGTTGCGCAAAGACGGACACAGGAGTGGACCTGAAGACAATTCGCGTATTTGTCGTGAACGGTAACAGATCAGCACATAAAATAGATTCTTGTTGAAGGAAACCAGCGATCACATAATATAAAAAAATCTAGCAGAAAAAATGCAACTTAAGCTGCTGGGAGAGTCTCAAATTTCATTTAACACGTTTGGTATTGTTCCCCCAAGTTGTGCAGAAAACCTAAAAGTTGTTGAAGTCCTTCTGCGGAGCCAAGACCGTTCTTCAGTTCACACACCATCCGAGTCACTGTCATACCTGTTATCTGTGACGACATTGTTTCACCGGCAGGTGATGACTGTCTAATACAAACGTTGCGTAGCGAAGGGAAAGTCATTGCAGATTAAAAAAAGTGTGATGCAGAGACGGGAAATCGCCTCAGCTTGTTCATTGGAGCTAACCATCTGTGGAAGGTTCTTACAGGAAGAGTCATAACGAGTACGAAAATTCCAGAAGTGGTCGCAATCAAGGCAGTGTTTGTATGGACACTGCAGGACCCAGTCATCAAAGTTACTCAAGTGACGACGACACGAACATCACACTTCCTGTTCTGCGAGTAGAGGTGAGCGGCGTCAACAACACAGCCTCGCATATTACCAACCATTCCGACAGTTTGAAGGAGCAGCCGCCACAAATCCCGGTGAACCACACTTACTTGAGTCGATTGGGAGCTTCCGAGAAATGACTGACAGGAGAAAGGGGGGACACCATTTCATTTGGAAGGAATATCCGAAAAAGCTAGTCGGAAGCAACCGTAATACCGAGATGACATGCTCACAAAAACTATTTCTCGGACTTCTCAGGTACAGTTTTTTGCCCTGTTTAACACGTATGAGACTAACATGCGTGCGCTACAGAGCGTACAAGCCCGAGCACTTTGGACATGTCGTGGCTTTCCAAGATGCTCATCGACAGTGGCACCCATTTTTATCGCAAAAGAACAGCCGGTCACAACGCATATCATTGTTGCGACGCTGAGAGCGCACACTCGGCATTTATCACGGCTTCCGGTGGTCAGATCATTTAGCGTGTTTGACAGCGCAGAGGCCCCATTCTTCATTCTGCGGTATTGTGACGAAGCATCAGGGCATATAACCACCTGGCTTCAAACTTGCGATGCATCCAACAGCTGCGTTATTGAGTCTCCGTCAACATAACAAGCGTTTATCGGTTCCTGGAATTGTTAAAAAGGCACGCATGCCACCGCTAGCCCAGAAGAAATCGACTTTGCGTCTGTTGGACGAAAAGTACTTTGACCGCATGCCTGTTTACACCAATGGCTCCACTAACTCCAACAGCTTTACAGGAGCAGTGGTTGCTGCATCTGGTAATGCGTTGCTTCAATACAAACTCTCTCACAACACAAACGTCGACAGCAGCAGAACTCGCAGCACTTCAAGGTGCAGCCAAGTACATTCTTCGGCAGCAACCTAATCAATAGGCCATCTTTTGCGGCTCGAGGTCGGCCTTACAGACACTATTGTTCAGTATGCAGCACGGGTTACACGAACAATCAGTATATGAGATAAGGCACCACTACAACGAAGCGCTCGTTCAAGGTCACAATACTGTATTTCACTAGTTGCCGAGTCATCGCGGAATATTCGGCAATGACCACGCGGATTAAGCTGCTCAATCGGCCCGTGACCAAGACCTGAGTACGCCCAGACCACTCTTGAGAACAACGCTGCAAGGCGACTCTAATCTCTTTCTCGCCGTATAACTCTTCTACAATGGAACACGCCGGTTTTTACAACGCACGCCTGTATTCGATCGACCCCAACTTTCAACTTCATTTGCCATCCGAGCTCCCACAATGCGCTGAAACCTTGCCCTGTCGCATGAGTTTGGGCATGGCATTTACGTATGCGTGTTCTCGTCTCCTTGGAACGGCGAGCAGTCTGACATGCAACATCGGCGCCTGCGAGGAGACGCTTGAGCTATTCCATGCCACTGCCCGGCATACCAGGCTGAACGAGGTATTATGGATGCCAAGCTCTGTCAGATGGACTCACGGCCGCTTAAAGGAAAGAAGATCCTGGGACCTTGGCCAACGATTTCGCATACGTGCAAAGCCACGAAAGCCCTCTTGTACTTTTTAAGGGCCACCAGACTTCACAAGCACTTGAGAAAGAACTGTGTGAGACCGTGCTGTGTAGTCTCGAGCTCACAATTTATTCTTCAATTTCTTAATCCTCTTCTATTTCTATCCTTTCTAATATTCCCATTTCCCCTACCCCAAGTGTAGGGTAGCCAACCGAGCCAATCTTTTTTAGCCTCCTTGTCTATTCTCTCTATTTATCTCTCCTTCTCTCCCAAAAAACTAGTAATGGGTCAATGATCAGAAGAGTTCTTGAAGCGATATGTCCGACAATTCGTGGAACAAAGTCACTATGACGTGTTACCTGAGAATGCGACGGTGTATTGGACCAATTATTATGCGCCACATCGAGAAGTTGTAAGAGAAGACTTTTCGACTTCTGAGTCATGTTTCACATTTTATCACCCACTCAAGGCATACCAGCCCTCTTCGACTGCTTTTATTAAGCAGTTAACCCAAAGCTAGCGCAGAGCACTTTGTTTGAAGTCTGCATCTCATCGAAGAGAGCCGAAGTTTATTTAAGACGACAGTCTTTCTCGGGAACCTTCGACGCAAAAATTTCTTCGGTCGGTTGGTCGGTCGGTCTGGTCTGTCTGTCTGTCTGTCTGTCTGTCTGTCTGTCTGTCTGTCTGTCTGTCTGTCTGTCTGTCTGTCTGTCTGTCCGTCCGTCCGTCCGTCCGTCGTCCGTCCGTCTGTCTGTCTGTCTGTCTGTCTGTCTGTCTGTCCACTCTTAACGGCACCGGGCACTTGAAACAGACGACCCTATTTGCAGTGCCCACCAATGTTGCTCAAGATTTAGCGTTCATATCTTTGCAATTGCCTATTAAAAAGCAATAATTCCGCATGTCTGGGGCACCATAACATGCGTATATACTTCCCCCCGTTAACTTTAGGAATGTCTACAGGGACTACACACGCTTCGTCGTTGCTCAGCACATCCTAGCAGCGGTTTCCAAAACGTATGCAGTGGCGATCAACGAGGAATCCGGATTTCGTGAAAGTTAATGGTCCCCAACTCAAATCACAAACACTGACCCGATTAAGGTGAAATCATCCGAGCTTGTAGACTGAAACTTCAAAAAGTAAAACTTTTTAAGAATAGCAGGGCAGAAATGGTTCAAGCTCGACTTGTGAAGATCTACTGGGGGGGGGGGGGGGGAATGGAGATGTAGACAAGTATGTAGTAATAAACGCGTGCAGGCGAGCACTGCCAGAAATGTAGTTGATATCATGAACGACGTTTGGTCTGGTTTATTCACAGATTCATAGCTTTTTCACAACGCGGTTAACACCGCTTTAGTGCCAAAATGGCTGATAATTCTCGTTTAAAAATCAAATACCTCTTTATGTCTAAGAAAAGAGTTGAAAACACGCGCCTTGCATTGATAAATAATAAGTGAAACAGGTGCTATATATAGTGTCAAATAAACAAATGACACAACAAACCGAAAGGTTTGTTCTGTCATTCGTTTCTGTTTGTTGTTCTGTTTGTTCTGGCCCATACCCACTGCACAATAGAACACCGCAGAAAGCGCTTTGTTGAAGAAATCTTCAAACTGGTGATTTCACTACACAACCTGTCTGCAAGTGTGAATACGTACCTCCGTTAGCATGCCTGAAGTAACGGTTTGTGTTACCTGTCTTGTTCTTCACTGTAACTTCAATGTTCCTTGATCTGAAATATCGAAATGCAGAAAGAAAATATGGCAGATCCCACGTACAGAGCAAATCAATGATATCCGACGCACGTTTGAGGAAGGTTTGACGAGCACATCATGAGCGTGGCTTGTAGTCATGTTCTTACATGACATGCATGTCTTGATTTCCACGTTAGGATCTGTCATTTATGTTCGACATGCAGTCACGTCATGCAATACCAGTTTTGCAATGTTTCATGTGAACAAAACGCCGCAAGAGCAGCAAGACAATGAAAAGTATATCATGCGATTCATGACATACATTTAATGCTTTTATGTTTTGACTAGTTATTTATGCGCGTCAGACAGTCATATTATGCCATAAATATTTTGGTGTCGATACTACATTTAAAACGACCACAAGAGCAGAAGTCATAGGCACTAGATAATATATTGATCGATATGTGGGGTTTAACGTCCCAAAACCACCATATGATAATGAGAGACGCTGTAGTGGAGGGCTCCGGAAATTTCGACCACCTGGGGTTCTTTAACGTGCACCAAATCTGAGCACACGGGCCTAGCACATTTCCGCCTCCATCGGAAATGCAGCCGCCGCTGCCGGGATTCGAAACCGCGACCTGCGGGGCAGTGGCCGAGTACCTTAGACACTACACCACCGCGGCGGAGCAAGGCGGCTAGATAAGATAGATAGATAGATAGATAGCTAGATAGATAGATAGATAGATAGCTAGATAGATAGATAGATAGATAGATAGATAGATAGATAGATAGATAGATAGATAGATAGATAGATCGCTGAAAGTAGCCGAAGTTTTCTGAAAAAAGGCTTCGCATTTAAAATCCCCAAAAAACAAAATTCATAAAAAAAATTATAGCGACTCCATACAAATGAATGAATATATGTAAACATTATTAAAATAAAGCACAGCTCTCGGTGGCTGTTTCGGAATATGGGAGGAAAGAATCATTAAGTGCATAGTGTGAGCATATCAAAATAACACCAGTTGGCATTAATCCGTTTCAGAAGACGTTCTGAGAGTCGCTAACACCCGAGGTAGTCGATCTCTTCTAGGCCATCCGAAGCAGGCCACTTTTGTATTACGTATTATTTTGTACCTAATACAAAATCGGTATATGTACTATAATTATTTCAAACATTCTCGCTTGCAGTCAGTGTTCCATACATAACCAGAATAGTGCTGAGTGCTCCCAGCATGGCCAAACACTCTGCATGTAAGGGTTGCCTGCCGGGGAGCCGGTCACTATGACAACCATTGTGGCGGGATGCGGATGTGCTGACTCAGGCTATACTAGCTTGCATGTCACAAAAAGCATTCACACAACTCTTCTTCGCCAGAAAAAACACGATGCTGAACGAGCCATTATGAAGTATATATATCTTACGATATCGGTGGTTCCATTTTTTGACCCAATCGCATATTTTTGCTAAGGTTTCACCTAATTACATTGCTTGTCTTTTATCACAATCTCACTATTCTAGTGCATATTATTTGAAGCGGTATGAGCTTTAGAACGGGAGAAGAAAAGAAGCATGAAGGCATGGCCGGAAAGAAGAGAAAGATAATGTTAGGAATAAAGCAGATTAAGATGAATGCCAGTTCCATACTGAGGTTATACTGCTGTTACGTTCTTTTAAGTAGGAACACTAAATTATTTTTGGCGCAGCCGGCCATCAAAGCCAATATGTGGGTGACTTTCTTCGTTGATGAGACCTCCGTGGACCAGACCATCATCTCGAAATACCAAGTTCAAGATGAAGAAGCGGTGGACGTTCTTCGTGAGCTCTGCTCGGAATAACTAGTGAACCTTGTTGCTAGAAAGGCAGCCGTGGACACTACTGAACTACGACGGAAAGGTGCTGTAGAAGTGAACTTGCATGTGGCGACTTTCTGCAACCTAGTTCTTATACCAGCGCGTCAAAGAGACGCAGTATCACGGTGTTCGACGGAAGAGGTGAGCCTCGTTATGAAAGCTCTTCAGCTGCAACAGGAGCAGATTGTGCAACAAATAATTACATCCCTTAGAGATAGCGACAAATAATTACAAATAATGACAGAACCAAATAGTGACATTCCTTAAAAACTTTCTGAATGCTGAGAAACCGCTGCCTGAGTTAGTACAGCCTGATGCCTTCAACGGTATGTATTAAAGTTCAGAAAGTTTGCTTGAGATCTACGAATATGCCACTGAAAAAAACAGGTGGCGCTCTGATGAGGATAAAATCACTAACATGCGTGTTTACTTGAGAGGTGTTGGGCTCAAGTGTTATGAAATATGCACTCAGGAAGACAGTGACAAGCCCTTGAAGTCAGCGGGAAGAAGAAACTTTTGACTGCATTCGGAAGCAATCCAGTACATAGATGGAGTATAGCACTTATTTCAAGTCCAAGCAAGGCTCCCTTGTCGAGTATTTCTTCGAGTAATGCCGTATTTTAAAGCTAGCTGAGCCTTTGCTTCCATCTACGGCCGTAGTAGCCTCAATTATGCATGATATACGCACTGAAGTCTTGAAGTAGATGCAAATACGGTCACCAAGAACTCTACAAGATCTCCTGGAGTGTCTTCAGAACATACGACAAACTTCGGAAACAAGCATAACCGCTCGTTCAAGCAGCTGTTTCAGCCGGAGTAAAGCGAACTGGTCAAGCTGCGATCACCGAAAACTGAGCCACCTCCCAAGTAGCATGGATAACTGGACCTGGCGCGCTGCAAGAGGTCGAGGGAATAATATCGACACTGAAGCTCAGGACGATTAGACAGAAAAAAACTAATAAATTAGGGTGATCAGTCCGGCCCGATGACTCCAAGTGGGACTGTTTCTTTAGGTTGCACAAGCCTACTTTACATTCCCGTCAAAGTAGGAAAGAAGCCGATGGTGGCTTTCGTGGACTGCGGTGCACTTTTGTCGATTATATATGCCAAGATGGTGGATGCAAGCGTGCATAGAGGAACAGTCCTACGGGTACAAGGCTATGATGAATAAATAACGTTGCATGATCAATGGGTCTCTGTAAACAATGAGTTCAGAGTCAGAAAATAGAGAACGAAGTGTTGGTGGTAGAGAGGGTGACGCACGACGTTTTGCTATCAAGGCCAGATATAAATAAATTAAAGATCAATGTATACTGGGACGATATGGTTCTAGTCAAAGCCATAGCAAGGAACGAGACATAATAAGATAGACAAGATAGCCTATGAGTTGTCAAGTGTGCAGAGGATATCTCAACGACCTACCCTGAGCCTGTATGCAGAGAAAGCTATCCTCAGTCGATGAAGACATACAAGGTTTCTTTTGAACCCGCTGACAAGACTGTTATCTGGAAATCACCTTGCAATATGTCAAGAAAGTGCAAGATTTGGCTCAAGAAAGAGTTGCAGGTGATTCTAGATGCTGATATCATACGACCATTGTCATCCCTTTTCACTTCTCCCATAACAATCGCACCGAAAGAAGACGAAACCTTCATAGTGTGCACCGACTTCAAGGTTCTGAATCGTCATGCAGAACTCATACCATTTCTCATGCCGAAGATCGACACACTTGTAAATGAGACTGGTGGTTGCCGACATTTTCTCTCATCTATTTGTGCAAAGGCTTGTGGCAGATCCCGCTAACCGAAAAAACAAAAATGTGCACAGCTTTTATAACGCCGTTCAATCTCTACGTGTATAAGCGGCTTCTTTTCGGTTGGAAAAAACTCGCCAGCGTGGTTCCAGAAGATCATGAACGACGAGCTAAAGCCATTTCTTGACGTTTTCTGCAATCTGTAGATAAACGACATAATAGTATTCTTTCAAGAGGCTGAGCATCAGGACCATCTGTCTCAGGTGTTAAACACCTTGAGCTTGGCAAATCTCAAGGTTAATTTTAAGAGTGCATGCTTTCAAAAACAGGTTGTGTTTATTGAACGATTCTTTGATGGGAACACATAAAACAGGAAAAAAGAAGTCCGTCGAGAAGATCTCCCAGTTGAAGAAACCATATGACGTCCATTCACTGCGCGTGTTTTGGGGATAGGCATGATACTTCCGATCTTTCATAAAGGACTTTTATGTCAAAACTAGATGTCTCACAGGTTTAACACAGAAAGACATTCCCTTTGCAAGAAGTGACGAATGTGAGAGAGTCTACCGTGACTTGGTGCAAAAAATTTTCTTCTAACCCTGACCTACGCCTACCGGACTTCACTTTACCTTTTCAACTGAACACTGACGCCTCACATTATAGGACTGGTGCACTCTTGTATCAAAATGTATTCAAGCATCCAGCCGAGAAAAGCGACAAGTAGGAGATTACTACAGTTACACGTTGGAGCTATCTGAAATAATTACGCTGCTACGGAAAAGGAAGCCCTGGCGGTTCTGAAGGCCATTGAGTACTTCCTTACGTACCTGGAAGGTACGAAGTTTACTTTGTTCACCGATTACCAGGCCCTCACTCATCTCTTTACTTTGGCCCAAATTAAAGGACGTATAGCTAGATGGGTGAATTACCAGCAGCGATTCAACTTTACCATGTCGCACCGACCAGAACCACTTTCAACAGATGCAGATCCTCTATCAAGTTAAGCTTTGGGAAGGCTCCGAACAACTGGTTTTCACTGAAAGGAGGTATCAAATCCCTCCAACACTTGTTTCCAAAGTCCTTTATTTGTACAACGATAGCCCAGAATCTAGAGGAAGCGACAGATTTCAGCGCAACTACAACAAATTGATCAAGAGATTTACATGGCCTCACATAAACAAAGACGTCAGTCAGTACGTTCGTTCCTGCCATGTGTGTCAAGTGCACAAAGTCAAGTTTAAACAGCCTACGGATGCTATGATAATACCTTGCCCCTCGAACGTGCCTTTCGAAGTAGTTTACCTAGATTTCGCCGAACTAAATAAGAACTGGGAAGGAGTCAAGAAAATGCAAGCTTTTTATCTGGCCATGGATGAATTGCTCTGGCCATAGATGAATGCACGAGGATGGTCGTGGCACGAGCAGGAAAGGAGATGCAAATAGCGTCATAACTCCCCTAGAAAGAGACATATTCAAGAATACGCGGTCAATCGCATGCGATAACGTCCCTACGTTGAAGAGCGAAAGGCTAGCAAGATGGGCTCGGGATCACAATATATCGATAAATTTCTGTGTTCTATATCATCCCGCAGCGAATGGGCTAGCAGAATGTGTCATACGGAACGTGAAACAGTACATCTAGATGAACTATTTTTTTTCTGGTGGATGGAAATATTTTTAGAAGCCGCCGTGAAACATCATTATTGATCGTATGCAAGTGGTTCGGGGTGCAGTCCACAGTATTCTTCTTCAGAAGAAACCCCAATTATGCAGGCAGACCGTGAGTTTGAGAGCTCTTGAAAAACATGAAGATTGTCGAGGAGAGGCAAAAAAAATACAGTAGGAGAGATACCGAAAATATAAAAACATAATTTTGAGAAGAGGCATGGAGCAGACATGCGAGACATTCCAGTCAATGACCTCGTACCAGTGAGGCAAGGAATAAGAGATGACAGTACCAAATTTTACGGTCCTTACTCTGTGACCAAGACAGCCACCCACCATGGAATTTCGAAGACTGTCTAGTACACTGGTGAACGTGAATCAGTTGAATGTGTTTTGATTGGAAAGGTCTTAAACTAATACCCCAAGAGGGGTAAATAAAAGAAACCTGGAAGGCTGAAGCGGTACGAGCCTTGGGACAAGAAAAGAAGCATGGGAGCCGAATCTTGAAAGAAGAGAAGAATGAAGTTAAGAATATAGCAGATCAAGGTGTACGCCGATTCCATACTGAGGCTATAATGCTGTTCCGTTCTTTTAATTAAGAACACTACAATATTTATTCGAGAATTTTAAGGCTAATGGCGATAGGATTTTTTAACTGCGCATAAGTGCTGGCGTAGCTATGGAACGCAGTGGTAAAGTCTTTACAGTGACTTGGTTAAGAGCTGCATTCAGGCAATAATCTTATGGACTTTATTTAAGAATACACAAGTACAACACAAGGCAAATACACGCGAGCCAATTTTTTCGCGCAAATCATTTAAATATAGAATATGATTTACTGCGATATCTATTATATAGACACTCTCAGTTGGATTTTGCAGCTGACGTTGGCGTCGGTGTCGATGTCATGCACCGTATACGTCTCTATACGTATGAAAACGCAAAAAAGAAAAAATTCGGTAAAAAGCACTCTGGCGCGTAGAATTGTACGCGGGACCTGTACGTCGTGGAAGCGAGGCGTTAGCCACTGAGCCACCCTGGAGAACGTTCTTCACCATTCAAACGGGAAGCTATTTATATCTAGCACTTACCTCTGCTGTGTTTTGGCATTATCAGAAAGATGGCGCAATGAGCAGAGATCGCCCCATCACGCAGCGGCGCCTGCTCTAATCCCCTACGCGTAATTTGCGTGGCTTAGAGAAGGGGAGCGACGCTGCTCTCGCGCGCCCTTATCTCGCGGTAGCGAGGAAGGAAGGACCGTACGCCTTGGCTGGCCTCTGACTTTACCTCGAACAATTCTGCTGTAGTCCTTGAACTTGTATAGCGCATTACGGGGAAGAAGAAACGGCCGAGCAGACCGACACAAGAGGACAGAGCGCTAACTTCCAACTCAGTTGGAAGTTAGCGCTCTGTCCTCTTGTGTCGGTCTGCTCGGCCGTTTCTTCTTCCCCGTAATGCGCTATACAAGTTCAAGTACGACGAACCAACTCGCCCAATCTTCAACACTCGTCTGCTGTAGTCACCGGGCACACAAAGGTCACTGCAATCATTGAAGTCACAGTTCGCGAAAAGTGCACGCTTTTCAGACTCAGCAAAGTAACAAAGCAGTCGCTTCTTCACGTGCATCCGTACCTGTGAGTATGTTTCGGGCTTAATTTGTTCGCGAGAAACGCGGGGCACATTTCGATCTTTTTTTTTCCATTCTGAGCGTGACCCTAAAATTGTTGCTATCGCATTCGTTGCTTCGCCTTTGCGGCAAAGCTGTGACATTTATATACTAAACACTTATTTCGCATGCTATTCGATGCGCGTGAATGATAAAGAACAGGTAACCTAGAATGATAAAGACGCATCGTTTGCAGTTCCATTTTAGGACAATAACGCAGAAAAAACATGAATATTATGTGTATCTATACTCACAGTTTCGTCAATTTTTGAAGACGACGTCTGTAAAGAATTGTGAATGGAAACATTACTGCTAATAAAATACCAAATCATTTTATAACTTCCTGCATATGGAATCGTTCTGTGCACAGAAAGAGAAAATCTCTTCCCAAATTATGGTGTCGTGACCCTAAAATATCTTTTTACCATATCGAGTCGGCATGCCACTTTCGCGGTGTCTGACCCGTTCTTCCAGCAATCAGACGGTTCTTATAGCACCCGCTACATCGTTCGCCGGCAATCAATGAGTGACATGCCTCCCGACGCAAACAATGCCACTGCAAAGTTACTTTGTCCTTTTAAGCTACACGGGTGTCGCACATGTAGGTAGCCATATGCGCCGGAGATGAGTCATGAAGGCGTCCACTCCACAGAAGCATGTGATAAGGTGTATTCGATGCATCTCAGCTAAAACACAGTGTGTAGAAATGTTATCTTTGAAAGGAATAGCACGTTTGTGTGCCACAGAACTGACAAAGGCACCAACAATTGATAAAGTCATGTTCTAAAAGAAAGGAAGGTTTTTTTTAAAATGTCTTCTTCGCAGACAATGACCATTTATTCTGACACCTGAAGGCGGCAAATGCTGATGAGGTCGCAAGAACGTAAAGAAAAGAAAGATTATGAGTTAACTGTAAGGTAAACGTTGGCCTTCGACAACCACGCCTCATTCGATTGCAAATGATGCCCCCCTTGTCTAGCTTCTGGAGCTGAGCAACCGACCCTGTAAGAGCACAAAATACTTCAAGGGAATAACCGCTGTACGCTAGTTCATATGACAATTTTATATCTTCATATCATACGTACAGGAAAGTACAGGCTGGCAGTTTTTAGTGTAAATTTTGTGCTTCCTTACGCAGAAGAGATTTAAAATTTTAGGACACCATTTTCTGAGTGATTCTTACACTCGTTTATAGCCAAAAATAATAATTTTACTGCATGCCATAGTGGAACTTTTATAGGTGAGGCAGCACAATAGTTTTGTTTTTCAAATCAGACCAAGTATGTTAAAATAAAACGCAATGAAATATACTTACATACGAGCTATTCTGACAGGAGGAGAACTGTAAATAGAAATAAAATGTTAGCTCCTACCTCAGCATACTGGAAGTGTATTTGTTGTCAGACATCACTGATACGTGTATAAAAAACACAAAGTACAGAAACATACATCATTCATAGATATATGGGGTTTAACATCTCAAAGCCACAATACAATTACGATAGACGCCGTAGTGGAGGGCTGCGGAAATTTTGACCATCTGGGGTTCTTTAACAAGCTCCCCAATATGAGCTCATGAACCAATAGCATTTCCGCCTTCATCGAACATGCAGTCGCCGCAGCCGCGATTCGTTCCCGCGACCTGCGGGTCAGTAGAAACATGAATCTTTGACATTCATGCTACAACGGTAAGTTAAATGGGTAATCACAATCTGTTTCCGCATATTATGACCTTGCACAGTAGCAGGCTGCAAACAATGCAAATGTGACTATTTTAGGCAACATGCGACGTCTAAGTCATTTGCCGGTCTTGGGACTGACGTGAGTCTCGGATGACAATTTACAAACGTATATAAATGCTTTTCAATCAAATCGGTCGTCGTAGCGCTGAATTAAGCAACAAAAAGTCTTAATGTAGGTCGAAGACACAACAGTTGCCGCAGCAGGAGGAAAATCCACGCTTCTTTACGGAGCCAATCATGACAAGCTGGTGAAACGCCACCATGTACTGCGCGTGATGGATGTGGCTGTACTACTTCGCACGCACAGCTCTATTCAATGGGACACTGTCTCCTCGCTAAACGACACGGGACTTGTATTCTCTTTCTATCGTTTCTTCTTTCTTTACATATATCTTTCGCCTTTCTGTTGATTTTGTACCTCTCATTCTTCTGTTTCCATAGCTTTTCTTTTTTTATCTTTTTCATTTTTTCAGTGGTACTCTTTGCTCTATCCCCACTTCGTGACCATCATGTCTGTACTCCCAAACCTCACTTTCCATTTCCACACCGTCACGGCACAATACAACATAAGTTTATGCTATGCTGTGCTAGCTTGCCTGCATTCCCGAGTGATCAAGATGCTCTGTTTTCGGTCAAAGTTACGGGAAATTGAATCACACTTAGCGAGGAACTTTCTTCGACACATAAGGTTATGTTTTTGTATAAATTATATGTAAAGCATTTTCAATGCTTTACATATAATTTACTATAATGAACTGCGGCGACTTTGAGAGTATCTATCTATCTATCTATCTATCTATCTATCTATCTATCTATCTATCTATCTATCTATCTATCTATCTATCTATCTATCTGTCTATCTATCTATCTAGCCGACTACGACTTTTAAGTCTCCTGACCGTTTCGATAATGGTTTCGATAGCAAACTACCAAAATACCATGACTGTATGAGGAACATATTTGACAAGTCATAGCGTGAAATTCATGACATATATGTCATGAATGTCATGATTTAAATTTCATAGCCTGCAGCTCTTTTGGTGGTTGAGTTCACATGGCATGATGCAAAACTGGTATGGTATGGCATGATTGCTTGGTGAACACAAGCGATAGACTCTAACATAAAAAAAAATTGGTTCCGAATCTCCACGTTACACCACAAATGCCGTCGAAAGACGATAATCTTGCGTCTGAAGAGAGTGAACAAAACTTTTATTTTGGAACGGGGTTTATTGGCACAAGTAGTGCTTGCACAGCAGGTCTATTGATGCGGGAACCAGGCGGCAGGAACCGACGCAGGATACACAACGCTCGGGGCAACAGCTCGCGCTCGGCTCCTTTTCCTAAAGGCGTGACCCACTGCGGCACATATTCTTCTTCCTCTCTACAATACCCCGGCGACGAAGACGAGCCATCCTGGCAAGTCAAGGTGATGATATTAGGAGTGGGTCGTGATATGGCTTGAGACGACTCACGTGGAAAGTCTCACGACCAAGGCGTCGCCTGTCTGTAGATGGCGTGACCGGCTCAATCACGTATGTGACAGGAGATCGAAGTTCGACGACCCGATAAGGACCGTGAAACTTGGGGGCAAACTTAGCGGACAGACCTGGGGAGTGGAAGGGCAGTCGAAGCCAGACAAGCGAGCCCCCGGCAAAAGTCTTGACTTGCTGGTCGCGGTCGTGGCGGTCTTTTTCGAATGCTTGCTTGTCCGAGGTGAATGATCGGGCCAACTGACGACACTCTTCAGCGTGGTGCAAAATTTCAGAAAGAGGGCTGAACTCTGAGACGTCGGGATGATACGGCAAAATGGTGTCAAGGGTGGAGCATGGCTCACGCCCATATAGAAGAAAGAAAGGCGAGAAGCCTGTGGTTGACTGCGTCGCGGCGTTGTACGCATAGGTCACAAATGGGAGAATGACATCCCAGTTTGATTGGTCGGAATCGACATACATGGCAAGCATGTCTCCTAGCGTTCGGTTCAAGCGCTCAGTTAGACCGTTGGTCTGCGGGTGGTAGGCTGTAGAGGTGCGGTGCACCGTGCGGCATGCCTGAAGGAGTTGTTGTACAACTTGGGATAAAAGACACGCCCTCGATCACTTAGCAGTTCACGTGGTGCCCCGTGACGCAGTACGAAGCGTCGCAAAATGAAATTGGCTACGTCACGTGCACCAGCCGTAGGTAGTGGAGCTGTTTCAGCATACCTCGTCAGATGGTCGACGGCGACAATGATCCATCGATTTCCAGTGGCAGTGTAAGGAAGGGGACCATATAGATCGATACCAACGCGGTCGAAAGGGTGCGCCGGACATGGTAGAGGCTGTAATAATCCGGGTGAATGGGCAGCTGTCTTTCGTCGTTGGCATAATGAACAAGACCGAATGTATTTTCGTACAAAAGTGTACATACCACGCCAGTAGTAACGCTGGCAGATCCGCTGATATGTTTTTAACACACCAGCGTGAGCATGTTGTGGGTCGAAATGAAAATACGCACAGACATCAGATCGCATGTGGCGTGGTATAACCAAGAGCCATTTACGACCATCCGCGTGGTAGTTTCTGCGGTATAGTTGCGCGTCCCGTATCGCGAAATGTGTGGCTTGGCGGCGAAGAGCGCGCGGGTACGCAGACGTTGAAGAGTCGGAAAGAATGTTAAGGAGAGATATTATCCATGGGTCTTTCCGCTGTTCAGACGACATGCTTTTGACGGAAATGGGAGCGATGGAGAAGTTGGTGTCCGAATGCAGGTCTGCGGTGGATCTCACTGGTGATCGTGAGAGGGCGTCCGCATCAGAGTGTTTTCGTCCTGAGCGGTAGACGACACGAATGTCGAATTCTTGTAGTCGAAGAGCCCGACGTCCAAGGCGACCTGAAGGATCTTTTAGCGACGCCAACCAACAAAGTGCATGGTGATCGGTCACAACGTCAAAACTCTGTCCGTACAAGTAAGGACGTAACTTGCTTAACGCCCAAACGATTGCGAGGCATTCTTTTTCAGTTACGGAGTAGTTCATCTCCGCTTTCGTGAGTGCGCGGCTTACGTATGCGACGACGTACTCTGGAATACCTGGCTTTCGTAGCGCGAGTACTGCTCCCAGACCAACGCCACTGGCATCTGTGTGCACTTCAGTTGGGGCACTTGGGTCGTAATGGCGTAAAATCGGTGGGGACGTAAGTAGGCGGCGCAGTGTAAGGAAAGCTTCGTCACATGCCGGGGTCCAGTTAGAAAGATTAACTGGACCGTTCAGTAGTTGTGTAAGTGGGGCTATTATTGTTGCAAAGTTGTGGACGAAACTACGAACATACGAGCACAAGCCGATGAAGCTCCTAAGTTCTTTGAGTGAAGTCGGCTTCGGAAAGTCTGCTACGGCTCGAAGTTTGTCTGGGTCGGGGGAAATTCCATCCTTTGTCACAACGTGACCAAGTATCGTAAGTTGGCGAGCCCCAAAGCGGCACTTCTTTAGGTTAAGCTGGAGGTTTGCCTTGGTAAGACACTGAAGAATGGTGCGCAGACGGTCGACGTGGGTAGGGAAATCAGGAGAAAATACAAAAACATCATCGAGGTAACATAAGCATATCTGCCATTTAAGGCCGCGTAAAATGCTGTCCATCATTCGCTCAAACGTTGCAGGTGCATTGCACAGACCGAATGGCATAACCATGAATTCGTAGAGGCCATCCGGCGTAACGAATGCTGTTTTGGGACGGTCACACTCTGCCATCGGAAACTGCCAGTAACCTGAACGTAAGTCCAGCGAAGAAAAGAATTCGGCACCTTGTAGGCAATCGATAGCGTCGTCGATGCGGGGAAGAGGGTATACATATTTCCGGGTAATTTTGTTCAGTCGCCGGTAGTCGACACAAAATCTAATCGAACCGTCTTTTTTCTTCACTAGCACCACAGGTGAAGACCAGGGGCTAGAAGATGGTTTGATGACGCCGCGCTGAAGCATATCATCCACCTGTTCTGCAATTACACTTCGTTCTATGGGTGATACGCGGTAGGGGCGTTGCCGCAAAGGAGCGTGCGTTCCAGTGTAGATTGTGTGAGCGACGGTGTTAGTTTGACTCAGTGCCTTTTGAGGAAGGTCAAATGAATCTCGGAATTCATGGAGAAGGGTCATTAGCTGGTCCCGTTGATCCGGAGGAAGCTTGCTGTCGATGGAACGATTGAAGATATCCGAGGAGTAGTCATCCGGCGTGAAAAGAGGAGTAACGGCGTTCAGTTGAAGTTGCTGGCCAGGGTCGTGGGACTCAATAGGCACAATAACGTTGTCATCAACAGAATGAACATAGCCCAGTGTTTCGTGAGCTCTTAAAGTGAGAGGGCATGAGCTAGGATTGCAAACGACAATTCCGGAAGTATCCTGGTGAGGTGGAAACGGCGTATGGCAGAGACGTACCGTGGCGGCGACTGAAAACGTCAGATGGCGAGAACACAACGGTAGAGCCGGATAATTCAGTGCGATTGACGGGGACAACGATGGCACTAAGAGGAGGAACATCAACGTCGGAAGCAACAAGAAGCTTGCCCAGGTGAGTGCACTCATTGTCGGTAGATGGCGCATCTGAAAACACATATAATTCCACCTGCGCGCGAGCGCAGTCAATTACGGCGTGGTGGCGTGACAAAAAATCCCATCCAAGTATCATGTCGTGGGCACAAGTGGTCAACACGAGAAACTCAATGTGGTACAGGACTTCTTGAATGTTTACTCTCGCCGTACATGCTCCGACTGGTCGAAGTGGTTGCGCACACGCGGTATTCAGCAAAACGTCGGAAGGCGGCGTCGTTACTTTTCCTACCCAACGGCTGAGTTTCTGACTCATCACAGATACGGCGGCACCCGTATCAACAAGCGCAAGAGTTCGTACACCTTCAACAAACACTTCCAGAACGTTTGTGGGGGACGGGCGAGGACTTGTACAAAGCGCCGATTTCGCAGCTCGTGCCTCCGGAGCTGCGGCAGTCAGTTTTCCGTCTCTACAGGGTTCGGTCGGCGACGCAGAGGGGACGGAGAACGGTAGCGGCGTGGTGAGGAGGAGCGACGGGGACCGAATGATCGGTAGTCGGCAGCAGGGCGGTGGTCTAGTTCGGTTGGTGACGGGTCGCGTTCCACTGATTGTCGGTCGCATTGACGTGGCAGTTCTCGTTGCGCGTTGTACGGGGCCGGTAAAGAGTAGTCAGGGTACCTCGGAGGTGAAGCCGGACCCGTTGCGAAGCGCCGGCGACAGAAGCGCGCCACGTGACCTGGATATCCGCATGTGTAACAGATCGGCGATTGTCAACTGTGCGCCAAGGGTTTCTGTTATAGCGCTGTTGTATTGCTGGAAATGGCGTCGTTGATACTCGTACAGGCTGGGGAGTCGGCCCAAGCGGAGGTCGTGGTGGAGTAGGAGCAACAGCAGCATAAGTCAATGGCGCGGTGACGGGTGCTGTCTGAGAGACGGACGGCAATGCCTCAGAGACCTGCGCCTGTATTACCTGCCTGATGGCGGGCGCGGGACGCTCAGAAGAGGGTTCCGTGCCGGTAGATACGACAGGCACGAAAGTTGTCGGGCCACCTCCTCGCGCACATATCGTTTGATTTCGGACATTATTGCGCTGTGGTCTCCACCCAGGCTCAATGCCGCGAGAGTTTCATCGGTAGCCGCTGGACGCCGTGTCATGACTCGTTGTTTGCGCAACTCCTCGAAGCTCTGGCAAAGAGTGGCGAGTTCGGACACGGTACGTGGGCCCTTGGCCAGCAGCATCTGGAAGGCGTCGTCGTCTATCCCCTTCAAAATATGTTTGATCTTTTCTGCCTCAATCATTGAAGGGTCAATGCGCTTGCACAAGTCGAGCACATCCTCGATGTAGCTTGTGAAGCCTTCTCCTTGAAGCTGTGCGCGTCCCGTAGGCGCTGTTCGGCACGGAGCTTGCGTACCTCGGGGCGACCGAACACATCGGCAATGCGTAGCTTAAAGGTGCCCCAAGTGGCAAATTCCGACTGGTGGTTGTTAAACCAGAGACTAGCCACCTCTTTCAGGTAGAAGGGTACATATTGCAGCTTCGAAGGGTCGTCCCACTTGTTGCTTGCGCCTACCTTTTAAAATCTCGACAGCCAATCTTCGACGTCTTGCTCATCAGTACCGTCGAAAAAAGGTGGATCGCGTACGCGTAGCGCAGTGGGAACAATGACCATCGGAGGCTGGGTCGTACCTTGCTGGATGGTTTCTTCAGCCATGTCTGGGATGGCAGGTAGTTTCCGGTTGCGGAGTTCCACGTTGAGTTACCCCGCACCTCCACCACTCTAGAACGGGGTTTATTGGCACAAGTAGTGCTTGCACAGCAGGTCTATTGATGCGGGAACCGGGCGGCAGGAACCGACGCAGGATACACAACCCTCGGGCAACAGCTCGCGCTCGGCTCCTCTTCCTAAAGACGTGACCCACTGCGGCACATATTCTTCTTTCTCTCTACAATTTGATGTTCTGCCCAAGAAAAGCGGTAAATTGTATGCTGGAGGCGCTGCGTTAGATTGCCTCGAGCGTGCAGCGGGGGTGAACGAGCGCATCGAGGCACGTTAGACAGAAGTGCAATCTGGCAGTTATCTTTCGAAAACGAAGGCGTGCAACCCCGGAGAAAAATGCGCGCCAGTCTCAGAGGTGACAAGGTGTAGAACGGAAAGCAATGGGCAGTTGCCATCACCGTGACGTCTTAGCAAAGCGTAGAAAACACCTTTTTGAGCTTCCCGTTGCACTGTCAGCGCAGCGCGATAAACGCTACATACCTTAGAGATACTTGTGTGTGCCTCTTCTAGTATAAAGGCAGACGCACAAAACATCAAAGCGTTGTTGTGGCGCCTGAGATATGCGCAATAATCGCTTTTAAAGATGATAGTCCTTTCTTGCGGACCTTCAACGGAAAATTTTTTGTCTGTTTTTCTGTCTGTACATTTGTCTGTTTGTCTGCCTTAACGTTACCTCAAACTGAACGAAATGGTGATCCCCATCCGCAGCACCCACCAATATTGCTCAAGGTTTAGCATTCATATTTATTATACAATCGCACAGCTATGTCTGCCTTACGAATCGCGAGAGTGATGGCAGTTGCCTCGGCTGACGCGGAGGATGACGTATGGAGGCGGACTTTACCAGTTTACCTTGGTTGACGAAATATATCACCGGTGCAATCATGATAATCCGGACATGGGTGTCGTGTAAAAACATGACAACATACCACGCTCATAGAGTGCTCGCGGCCGTTTCGCTAGCTCCACATATACTTAATTTTGTATCACGGTACGTGAGTAGATGACAAAGGTGAACGACACATCAAAGCTTCATACTCATGACGTGAAAGTGATATACGGCATCTGTACCTCGACCTCTTAATGTTGTCCTGATTTTGAAGTAACATATAAACATTACTCATTCATGCTTCGCATACCATCGCTTCCCACTGTACATGGGATCTGCCAAGTTTTTTCTGTGTATGGTTTTCTATTACTTTTTTATGTCTGTAGTGATTCGCAGCTAGCCACTTGATTCACACAGTGGCACATGCCCATTAGGGGACGATATATCGTTTTCAGAGATGGACGAACAAAGATTGACTTGGTAAACGACCATCTTGTACACATTGTTAGTAGACGGTATGGTTCGTTTCCAAAAACCCAGGCACAAGGTGGCTAGCGCAGATCTCTACACACTCATCACAGGATTTTTGATAAAAAAACAAACTGTCATATATGAAAAAAATGAACACAGTACATACTGACAACAATATGTCACAATAGTGTAAAAGATTAAAAAATACTGACATCCATTTCCTGTAAGCATAACACTCAACGGTTCGCTTAGCTCCTTCCGCAGCATCTTTGAGACGTGTCGACTTCAGGCAAAGACATTCATTATGGACCCATGAGTCTACTGACATCATCAGCAATTCGAGGACACCTTGACTTTTCATGAGCTGTAATAACAGACAGGCAACGTTAGCTTTAGATTAACTAATGGTCAGTGAATAATTCAGAATTTTTCCTATAGAACGAGACTACGTTACCAGCGCAACCTCTTTGGTCGAAAAAAGTGAAAGAACGAAAAAAAAAACATGTGTAGGAGAGTACAGAATAAATTAAAAACCCGTCTCACCTACGGTCAAATGAAGGCAAGTGAAGTGTGGTATTCCTTTGCCTTCTCATCTAGTTGAATTCGCCTCCTTTTCTTGCGTTGTTTTCTGTTTGCACCTTATTATAGTACTGCGCACTGCTCCTTCCGAAAGTTTTTCTTTGCACATGCCGGGACTGGGACATCTTTTCCCGTAGTTGGCTGCTCAACACTGAGCGGAAGGGACGATTAGCACATGCAGGCCTGACTTAGTACTTGTCCTATTTTTTGCTGTCTAATTGGGAAATGCTTTCTCCAAACATTTCCCTTTCTTAATACTGTGAATAGGCCCTTCATCCACGTGCTTATAACGGAATAGCTTAGCTGACACTGCCATCAATAATGGCCATGCCTTCACTTCCGGGCAGCGATACATTGAGAAGCCAAATACGCCGATAAAATATCACATTCACCTATCAAGAACGCGGACAGAAAAAACATGGCAACTGTCTAAATTCTGTGGCAGCATTGTGTACACTGCGAGTTGCTACAGCCACAAAAAATTGAAGGTATCAAAATATCAAGGTTAATTACCTAGAATCAAACTTGTTAAAGATACAGTAATGTCACAGGAGAGTCTAAATTGTTATTCTATTGTTACGCGATGCGCTATAGTCTGTTATTGTTTTGCAAATGTTCGTTGTGAGGGCCTTCAGCTTCGCTATATCAAAATTTTCTTCTGATTGTTGTACTTTATGTAGTAGGGTAACATAAACGCAAAGGAACCTAATCACTAACGCAGAACGTGTCATTAAAAACATCTGTTTGTGCAGTGATGAAATAACAAGTAGGCAGCAGCAGTTATCATCCCAGCCTGAAAACTTGACTGTTTGTGTAAACGTGGCAGTGTGTGTGGGTGCGTGCTGCGTTCATTTACAATATTCGCAGATATGAACGCGCGAGCACTTACTCAAAATGACTGCGTATTTAGTCAAAATGACTGCGTAACGTCACCGTATACCTGGTCGCTATACGCTGCCTCGATGCAAGAATGTCCCTCCTGTAATACACAGGCAGCAGCGTACTTTGGGCATCAAAATGTAATGTTAGCTATTATAAAAATGTTCAATTTGAAACTCTAATTAAAAAATGCACACTGTGGACACTGCAAACGAAGGTTCATTGTTGCTTAGCCCTGAAAGATTTTTATCAATGCACAAGTGCCCTGTAAGTACATCATCATCATCATCATCATCATCATCATCATCATCATAATCATCAGTCTGACTACGTCCACTGCAGGACAACTCCCTCTCCCATGTTCCGCTATTCAACTCGGTCCCGTGCTTGCTGCTGCCAATTTATACCCGCAAACTTCTTAACCCCATCTTCCCACCTAACCTTCTGTCTCTTCCTAACCCACTTGAGTTCTCTGGGAATCCAGTTAGTTACCCTTAAAGACAAGCGGTTATCCTGTCTACGCGCTACATGCCCGGCCCATGTACATTTCCTCTTCTTGATTTCCACTATCATATCTTTCACCCCCGCTTGTTCCCTAATCAACTCTGCTCTCTTCTTGTATTTTAAGGTTACATCTACCATTTTTATTTCCATTGCTCGCTGCACCGTCCTCAATTTAAGCTGAACCCTTTTTGTATATATCCAGGTTTGTGCTCCGTAATTACATATTGATTGTTTTCTTGAGTGTGATATGCTCAAGACCACAGTGTCGTTAGTGCAAGGTAGAATTTAAAAAATGGCTAGGTCAAAAAACCCCATAATGAAGTTGATCGACGTCACTAAACGTGCATTCACCTACGAATCAAAAATCTACATCCTCTTGACTTGTTTGTCCAATTTAGAGAGCCCGTTTACATGCATACATATCCATGTTTGTCTTTCGCGCCGATTTCGTTTTTCTTACCGCGCCTTTCTTTTTACTGTCAATCTTTCCACGAATTTCAGACTTGCTGATATTTCTGATGATGACCAATAATAACCAAGTATAGCGAATGCAAAGTACTTCAAACAGAGTGCTACACACAAAAACTAGGATAAAACCCTTAGAGGAAAAAAAACAATTGGCAGCTGATTTGCAGTGAAGCATGAGGATGTACACTACGCGGCCACCTAGCAATTACTGTTCCTAGAGTTGCCACTGCTTCGTATAAAAATGCGTCAATGACGTACACGTTTCAGGTTGAATATGCGTAATTTCCACAGCACAAGTACACTCTTTTTAGACATATTTTTGAAGACGGTAAACGCCATGTGCACTATATGGCGCTGCCCTGTATTGTCTTCTAGTTTTCAGCAGTTATGACAGGGGTCCTCTGCAGGAAGTTACGTGTGGTTGTTTCCACCATGCGGAGTAGTTGCATGGTGGTGCAGCGCAATGTCGGTGAAGGGCTGTTTCAGAGGTGGTGCAAGTAGGGGACGGGTATTCGTTCCCTCAGAGAGGCGGTGGAGCCCAGACTTTCGCCCTGCTGGAGCCAATCCCTCATTTCCAAATTGCTTAATGACATGCGACACCTTTAGAAATCGTTGTGCCAACATCTTTACTTATGATTAGCGTCATTTCATAGCATTTCGTTCATTAAAAATAACGCTGGTCATCTTTGTTAAAGAGCTTTCGCATAACCTTCGCATGGTACGTGGGATCTGCCGAATGGTTCATTTCATGATTTGTCATTCGGGTCGGTCATACGATAATGTCATTCAGTGATCATTTATTTTCTACCAGCTTAATAAGGTGGCTACGATTTTGTTTAAGACCGACCGACAGACCAAACGACCGACCGACTGACCGACCGACCGACCAAACTGAGTCGCACCCACTGATTTTCGCTTGAGTGTGCAGTGTCCATTTCCTAGGCCAAATTTCGACGCGTATTACCTATCTCTGTGTATAGAAGAAAAAACCACGATTGACAGCACAGTGGTCGAAACTTAGCTTTCTTTCACGGTGCTCACGACGCACTTGCGGTTTGCACTAGTGCACTCTGCTGCTCGTCTCCCTTATGTAAAGCTAGTATATCAAACACCACTGCGTATCACAGGAAATCTTTTCGGGTATGAAACGGTCATATTAAACCAAATTTATTCTTGAATAGCGGGGTTACAGCGTGAAGGATATACAGAAGAGGGTCACGAGGTCAAATTTTTACAAGTTAGATGACAGAAATATACTTACCTTTCTAGTGCGTTGGTATATATTACCCGTAGGTGCAGCCCCATTGCTGGTTGCTGCAACAGTCGCCTTCGCAGATGCTTTAGAGGGTGCATTTCCGACTCTCCTCATGAGTGTTCCACTTCTTATATCTGCACCTATGTGCTCGTGCGCCGCTAGCGTGCCCACAAAGTAGAGAGAAGTTGTAGAAACAACATGACAAAAATTTATATATAGTTTTGGAGTTAGCAGTGTATTCCAATCTATGTTTATATGTATGCGGCATTCTTGGACGAACAACATGACAAATCGTTATATTTCATTTTTACTTTGGCGGTATTGTCAAAAATATTGTCAAGTAATATTGAAGTTAGTTAAGGCTACAATCACTAAATTATTTTTACGCAAGCTTTCACAACCTCGTCTTCTCAGCTTTCACCAACTTTTAGAACACAAAACAACGATATGATTATCAGATACTGTGTTGTGCAGAGCTCCACAGCTTCTCACTCTTTCGTGTTTTTGTTCACCGTGCTTTGACAACGCACGGTACCGGAGTCTCTGCCACTTCACAGTCACTGAAATTGAACCACCACGGCCGAGTTTGAACCAGTGAGTTACGGGTAAGCAACCAAACATCTTCATTAATAATTCACCTTGGAGCACGTTATTGTAAGTAGAGAGCATTTTACTCAGTATGTAGTCGTAGTGATAAAATGTGCCACGTCACTCGGCAAGCAACATTCCGTTTCATTGCGACCTGTGGTTCACGCAGATATTGAAAATGCATATCACATTTAAAGGTGTAATATTTGTTCTATTAAATTTGTAACATGACAAGCTGTTTCACCTTAAAGCGCAACCTGAACTTCGCTGATCATGAAAATTCCTGGATAATATTTACAAGTATTTGTTGAAGACTTATTGAACCATAAAAATATTTTGCAATAAGTGCATTGGGCCAAGCTTACTGTATACCTGCAATGAAGTCATTCCTTTCGCTTGGCTTCGATGATCGCACGTATTCAGCGTAAATTAGGATAGAGCCATAGAAATTACCCTTATGTCGATGTCCGCCTTACATCCGGAATTGTTCATCATGCAAGTGACGTTCAGCATACGTTCTACATGTACGTTTTCAAAATGTAAAAGCTTTTGTGCCAAAAGCTTTTAAGGCAGGCACGCCAATAAGTGCGCGCATTATCCTTTCAAAAAATATACAATTGTCGGAGCATCTGCGGTTTTGGTATAAACGTCGTCCGAAGACGATAATAATCTCCCGGCCGTAGTACATGGGTCCTGGTATCATCCGCGATCAGTGTAAATTCTGTTCTTGAACCAGTTTTTTTTCTCTCACGATAACTGCGATGAAGGTTTGTTTGAACAGGTGTAATTTTTTTACATTATTACAGTTGATATATCATGCGTATGTACACCCACAGCATGTCAACAATATTTTAGTCGCGTGTGGTACTCTGTAGCATGATAGCTTGTGAAGAAAAACAATTGTGACAGTTCATGTTATTATATTGTGTTAAAGTTTGTGCGTTTAAATTCAGGTTTATGTGTGAAGTTTATACCACTGAGGCACCGAAGTATATGCCGCCAGCCAAACTTGGCAGCACCATATGGTCAGAAGAGTGCTTCCTCGTGTGAAGCGTCACATTTTGAGCGCAGCGGAAGAAACACAAGAGTCTTTAGAATTACATATGCATAAATTTTCTACTAAAGCAACACGCCACGCAATATTCGCGTAATGGTGTTGCGGCTCAGATGTGCGCAAACTTGCTTTTTTGATCGACAATGTTCAAAGTATGACCGCAGCCACCAGTTTAGTATGGCAGGGCATTGAGAAAGTGTCAACCCTTTGGCTACGTGGCTGAGTGTTGGGACAATTCGACATACAGACACACCACAATTTCTGCCCTCATCCCAAGAAAGGCTGTATTCTTCAAATAGGAAGTACTCTACGCTGTGAAAAACTAGCGTAGAAAAGTTTCTATTTTGAAGAAAACAGTATGTGGCCTCTGTTGAGGGCAAGTATGTTAACGCTTCCGAACTACGTACTTGACGTCGAGTCTTTTTCAGACCCGCGTCAATCTTAGCTGGCAATCTAGTAACCTAACGCTATTTACACAGCTTGTGAGACTTAAACTGAATTTTGGCAAATAGGGCAATAATGTAAATTATAATGAGCATTGCTCGGCTTACCACAGTCTTCATAGCGCACGCATTTTCCATCCATTGCTCGAAAAAGTGTGCTGCACGCGCATCCAAGGGTACTTCCTCGAAAACATATGTACTGTGAATTGTTTTCAAAGCCCGGGCAATATCGTTGATATAAACGCTGGCCACGCCAGCAGAATCTAGGTACTTCATTTATCCAGTCTGCACATGCTATATGAAGAGAAAACGAGGCTTTAGTAGGTAAACCGCACATCTGAGCAGTTCGTCACAGTAAGTAAATTTTGCTTCCACAAGTTCATAGATATGCCACTGTGCAATGAATAAGAGTGAAAATGTTTCCATTTGACACATCTTTCTTTTCTTGACATGCATTTGTAAATACTGCTTCGCATAAAAACAAGTCTTAAGAAGTTTATTTTTTTTCAAGTACCAGCAGCACTTTCTCGTAATACGTAGAGTAACATAAACCAGAAAAAAATACGATAACTGCGCAAACAAGATGAACATTTAAAAAAGTTCCTCCCACTGTGACAATAATTCTCTAAAGGATGTTTCAATGCAACAGTCAGAAATTTTCTCTGAAAGCTCATGGACTTGAATGTAACCAATATACAGAAGATTTTCTGGTTGAGTATGAAACTGGGAGTTTCCCCTAAAAGATTAGGCATGCGGAAACGAGTGTTAGTAGACTTTGCTTCTCGACAATTTTTTTTTATTTCTAGAGAGCGATATTTTTTCTGGAAAAAATATGATATTCAATTGAAACATATAATCTTTTACACATGCTGTAAAATATTTAGAAAAGCATTTCAAAAGTCACATTTGAGGACCTTGCTCGGCAAGATTTATTTGTAGGATTAGGTTTAGAGAATGGAAAGGGAAAGCAACGTATCTCTTGAATTTTGAAAGCAAGAAAAAAAAACATCTGTTTTCCCGAAAGGGCGAAGCAGATAGCGCGATAGTAGCGTGTCTAAATGTCATTTATTTACAGACACTTGCATATTAGTTTTCGAGACATAACAGGTGTAAATGCAACTGTTCAGCACTTTTAAAAAATGCAATTTGTCAAAATACATGTTTATGCTAGTCTTTTTCTCAATTTCTCAACAAGAAATTCTATCGCAGTTGCACATCAAGCTCACTCCAAAATGAACGTTCTGTGGAAACGCAAAAAAACAAAAATGAAAAACGAACAAAGCAAAACTAGAACAAATAATAATTGCTCTAATGGACAAGGTATTTGGGGGTCGAAAAACCGGATATAGTGTGCAGAAGAGACAACAAATGATATTGGCGCTAGAAGATTCAAACCAGTGTGAACTATCTTATTTATGCAGGAAGATGACTCGATTGCGAGTGCGCCCTTGTTCGAGGGGGCTGCAGCGATAAAACATGCTCATGCGAAGTAGGCAGGAAACGCTGCTCACCGCGAAGTAATTTAAGCAGTATTGCTTTTTCAAATAGATTGTATAATACTTATTTCATGTTGTGGTGAGTCCAACAAACAACATACGCATATTGGAGTTTGACTGAAGTCTTATGCGCTGTCAGTCAGCAGTCTTTTCTCGAGCACTTTAACGTGCATCAGAGACACTGATGTTTTTGAACAGCTTGTTGCAGATTGTTTCGACGTGCTTGTGTCATCTTTAAATTGTTTTGAGAGGTATATATCACCTATTAGACTTACAGTGTCAGTATCAAATATAAATTGAAGAAGCTCTTTCTTATTTGAAAAAGTCGTGACTGGTGTCTTTTTGTTTGTTTGTCATGTTTCTCTGCTGGTAAAAAACAATTAACAAAAAACACTCTTCAGTGAATCCCAATCTTGTGTATCAGAGATGGTTTTGCAGATAACGCATGTCGTCTGCATATATTCCAAGTTCAATTTGAGTAGCGCCAATAATTTTTCGCCACCTAGTTTACAAATAATGAACAAAAGAGGACTAAACACCGAGCCTTGCGGTCCGTTTCTGACGTGGTATATGAGTCAGATAACTTAGTGTGTGTAGACGGGGCAAATTTTGAGTTCGAGGGCAAGTTATATGCTATTTAAACAGCCGGCTTGCAGTCCGAAAAAAACATTCTGAAGAAGCTAAATGTTTCGGATGGCAAACCATGCCAAAGACCTTCAAATGATAAGTAAATATGACATCAACCAGTTTTCAATTGTTACGGGAAACAATGCCGTGCGCAAGTTGAAGCAACTGTGTAACAGTAGAATGATCAGCACGTTAGATGTGCTGCGTACGTAAAAGTATATTGTGTGCATTTGGGTATGATACAATTATTTTGGTAATAGTATGCTCCAGAAGCTTATAGCTTGTAAAAAGCTGAATTATAGACCTGTATTTACCATTATTTACTTTTTTCCAGACTTGAATGCTGGCACGACGTTTGCGAACTTTTGTTGCTAAGGCTTGCTAGAAATATCAATTTTCAAATTGTTACAGTGAGATAATCCGCGATTTATTCTGAATAGCTATTTAGAAACCTAATTGGTATACCGCATTGCCAGATCATTTCGACACCTCTAGATTTAGTATAAGGTGACGTATTTGACGATTTAGTATAAGGTGACGATTTAGTATAAGGTGACGTATAAGAGAAGCTTCATTCAAGAATATAAAGGGCAGAAAGTTTGCTGCGTGGGTGAAATGAATGAGTGATGCCGTTGTTCGCAGAAAAAAATGATTGGAAGTAATTTTAAAGACATTTGTATACATTCGGGATTTGAGGATGATCGCCCATCAAAAATAAAGGCTAAGAGCAAAAATGATGCGGGACTAATCGACCCCTATAATTTGTCGTGAAATATTTTACTGCGCAACGGGTTAAATACGGGCAGAGAAGGGACACAGCGCTGACCTTTCAACTAAAATTTATTTTAAAGAAAGAATATATATATGCCCTTTCTTTTTTCAAAGAAATTTCAGTTGAGAGTTCAGCACTGTGTCCCATCATTGTCCGTATCTAACCCGTTGTGCTGTAAAATAATCCACGTTGATTATCTACCAACTCGCCATATCCACAATTCTGCCCCTAGAATTTGGTTGAATTTTTTCACAAATATAGCGATGGCATTGCTAAAGTAGCAGTTCATAGCGTTTTGCATTCTAGCTTCTAATTTACTTTTGAATGCTTGAAATGAAGAAGCATTATCATTCCACTTAGAATGAGGATTCTCACGTAAGTGCTCTACGCCACTAGTAAGATCAGTTGGGTTCCATTTAGGCGAAGAGGGTAAGCTCTATACGCGCCATGTACTTTAGACAAACATTAGGTACCATCTTCTCCATAACCATAAAAGTTACAGTAAACATTTTACAGTGGTTATGATCGTAAACGGTTCTTCTTATTATTGAAGAAAAATTATGCCTGAAACTGGCAATGTTTATTTTCGGTAATTTGTTTACCTTACGCACCTAATTACCACCCGTTAATTGGTAATAAATGTCCTTTCTCACAAAAGAATAATTCTGCTTCAGTATATTACACAGCACGCTGTTCAAATAACGGCTGAAATCTATCTTTCTACACTCTAAGGCAAAATTACCCGAAAAAGGAGCCCAATAGGCGCGCGCGATGAACGGATAGACCGTTGAGGAGCAACCACAGAGGGAAGCGTGCCGCGTTCCAACCACTTGCCCCCGTATTCAGAAACGGTCCTCGACTCGAATTCCATCTTTCACATGACTGAGTTGAGCACTGCGCCGCTGCTCGACTGAAATTGACGCTGCGTTTCTCAAGAATCGCTGCAGAATATTGCCGATATGCAGTGACTTGGTCTGCCAAGAGGCGGTGTCCCACCAACTTTTTCAGGTCGAGGAGGGCCCTTGATTGAAGGAGGGTCTGTGAATACGGGGGTAAGTATCCAAACACGCTCCAAAGGGATTATTCGCCCGGGAAATGCAGGCAGCGCGAAAAGCGTCGCCAAGGTCACTATCCGTCCTCCTTTTCTCCTGGCTCAATCTTTTCCCGTATTTTGCTGGCGACGGTTTGCGTTGCGTCGGGATCGGAGGGCTGGGCCACGGCTGCCTGAATTCGACGGTCTAGGAATTACGACGTGGTGCCTATGTGTACGCTTGGGTGAGCCTGCGCTGCTGCTTTTATGTTTCGCCGCACCCATGAAGTCTGGAATAGGTCTCGACACGTCACCACGCTGCACTGTATATCTTTGACATCAAGATAGTCACGAACAACACATGACAGCAACAGTTGGGAAGGCCAACATGGCGGCTGAGAAGACAGCAGGCCTATCGGATAAATTACTTCAGTCCGACTCATGCAGAAATCAGCGCTGGATTCTATCGCAAGTAAGGTGATCATTTTTTATTCTACTCTACTTGTCGCGTGTGCGATACGGATCGCGCTTGCCGGCAACGGGCTCGGTCGTGTTGTATATTGCACGCACGAAATGCACCATGAGGGTCAGCTTGGGCGTCTGCAGTTCGCCTGTGCTATGCAACCGCCTGAAAATCGGCCGCCATTGCCATCGGCCTCCCGTACGCTTGCTCACCGAGTGCTCCCCTGTCTTCGCCACCGAAATCAGCTTAGGGCTCACGATATTGGGCTGAGACCTCGTCGCTGTGTTGAGAGTCCTCGAAAACACGTTGCAGGTTTTCGTTACGAGCTTGATTGGAGTATGTCGTGCGCTGTAAATGCACCAGCACGGGCTGGTGGGGTTTTTGCTAGCACCAAAACTCAGTGAAAATTGGTCGCCATTAGAGTTGCCTTCCCTGTCGGTCGGTCGCAAGCAGCTCGGCGCCGTCCGTTGGCCGCGGCGGCGGAATCGCGTTTGCCCGCTGAATTCGCTCGAGTTTGTGGAAAAGGGCCGCATTAACATCAGTTTCTCCGGCGCTAACTCCAAACCAGCTCGGCGTTGTTCGTGGCGATGGCCAAGCGTACGCTCGCTCTCCTGTTCGAAGTTCGCTGGTGGTAGACGCTCCGCGCACAACGCTGTGTTTGGTCTCGCGTTCGCTTGCTCGAGATAAGCGACGTCGCTCGCTTAGGACTCGCCGAATTGTTAGCGGCACGGTGGTTCGCGGAGTTGTGCTTGCGGCCGCCGTTCCTAAGCTATTGCGCTACGGAGAACGAATTGAGCCTTTGACGATGTGTGGCATCACGGGGAAATTATTAGCATGTCATACCTCTCGTATGTTTTTATTTCACCTTGCACGTATTTCTCATATGCATTTGTTTTCATCCTGTCACGTGTGGCTCACTATTTTACACACTTATTGTACAGCCGTGGGAACACACCGTGCTGAAGGCAGTGTGGGCTGGCGTCTGCGATGCTTGTCATCCATCTCTTTCATCAGAGCATCTTCAGAAGGACCGCACGAGATGTGAAGGTAAAGTTATTTGTGTGTCATATTTAACACGCATGTTTTAGTATTAACTTGCACGTACTTGTCCTAAGCGTGCGTCTTCATCTTCTGTCACGTGTCTAACTATTTTTACAATTCTATTGTACGTACAGCCATGGGAACACAACATGCAGAAGGCTGCGTGCGCTGGCGTCTGCAATGCCTGTCATCTATCGCTTCCGTTGGAGGAGCTCCAGATGGAGTGAACAAAATGTGACAAAAAGACTGGACTTGCACACTTCACCATGAATTCACTTCAAAGAATGGAGGAACTTCGTGTGTATGTAGAAAAACAAAAGATTTCGATGTCTCACTTTTGTCTTTCGTAGTTGCCGTGACTGCGAAACCAGTTACACATAGAAGGCTAACTACTTATTCGTGTGTTCTTTTTTGCGCTATTTGTTGCTCACTGCGCAGAAAAACAGGCGAAAAAAGCATTAGGCCTGACGGAAAATAAATAAAAAACAATTCTTGAAGTGGGGCTAAAAAGTTCATCCGATTAGAGTAGTTGACTGGATCAACCGTTCGTCCGGTGAGGCACAACTGTAAGGACTAATGATTGCCCGGTAGGTGTAAACGTGGGGACTAACAGTGGTGCTATATAGGTTGCAAATGTGAGAATTAAATGTTAGTCATTTGAGGTGGATTGTGGGACTAACGGTTACTCACCAAGGTGTAACTGTGAGGACTAAATGTTAGTTTCTTGGGCTCGCATGTGGGGATTACCTGTTAGACCCGGTGCCGTTAGTCCCTAAAGAGATTAATGATTGTGGCAGCCCCCTTAGTCCCCAAAAGGACGAACCACACACTCTTTGAACACCCTTTTGCCTTAGAGTGTATACAGAAGGGTTGCTCAGAAAAAAAGTACATAAGTACAGAAAAGCATGTTTAAGATTATCGCGTTTAATTAGAAACTATGCCTTATTTAAAAAGTACCACAAAATAACTGCCATTTGAAGGACACTTGTAATATGCATTAGCCATACACTCATCACCAATATCACCTGTCCTTTTTTAGTTGAGGCATCGGACCTGGCGGGACTCGCTTGGCGCATGTTTCGCAGTCCTGTCAGTGAATTACTGTCAACGCAGGTCAAGTGCGCGTAGGCCCTGCACTGTGTAGTCACTTAGCTAAATTCCAAAGTTGTTCAGCACATTTACACGAGCTATATTGCCATCATTAAAGGTGATTACTGCGTCAAGCCGGCACATTTTTAATGTTATATGTCCGAGAAACACGTTTTTTTGGATCTCGCTCCCACACGACATCATTGAACGACTCTTTAATGTTAGGAGTTTTACCGTGGACGAACTTGACAAGTAATTCGGCATTATCAGGTAGCCTATAAATTGGCTTAGCAGCCTCAAGAACAGATGGTGTATAATGATTTGATTGATCTATTTGTCGGGTTTGACGCCCCGAAACCACCAGGTGATAATAAGAGCCGCCATAGTGGAAGACTCCGGAAGTTTGAACCACTTGGTGGTCTTTAACGTGCACCCAGATCTGAGCACACGAACCGACAGCATTTATAAATCCATAAAAAAAGGCAGCCGCTGCAGCCGAGATTCGATCCCGCGATCTCTGCTTCTGCAGCCGAGTACATCAGGCACTAGACCACTACGGTGGCACCCCAAATCATTAATAGGTGTGGAGAACTTCTATGCAGAGATAGGAATTGGGGCCATGAGCATCAATTTCGGGTGCGAAAATTTTAGCGAATTTGTCATGGGTAGGCAAATAGTCGCAAAAACTGACTACACGCCTTTGTAAGATATTTGTTAAATGGGGCTCGATGATATACCACCAAAACGATAAGACAATTCTGGCAAATAATGTTAACACTATGATTTCCAGCACGTTCCTGGGAAGAAGCTGACAATAGCAGTCATGCTGTCTCACAATCAAGGGCAAGAATTGCCAGGTGATTATTCGGAAGATGTGGAACGTCATGCTTTAAGCGTTTTGTCTCGTCGAGTAAGTCTAAAACAATGCCTGAACAAGCTGATTACTCGCAGCAGAGTTTAAACTGATCATTGTGATAAAACGACATAAAGCTTCACAGCCTCTCAAAATTCAGTCTAAAATAGGCTCAATGAGCTATCGCCTGTCGGGAGCTTACTGCGACGGGAACACAAGTTGTGATTCCGACTTCGATGCGTCAACAAACGTTAAATCGCCAGCACCACTGCCGCGTTGTCTTTTGAAAGTTTGAAGCCCGCGTGCGACAGGTTTTGTATCAGCCTAGAATGAACAGCGACATAACTGCTATGATAGAGCATGGCCCTTCTTGTAAGTTGCATGCCTACAGACAAGCCGACAAACTTGACTTTTGGGGATATACCTGTTCATACAATAAGGACGAGTGGGAGGAGACGTTTTCGAATATGTCAGAAGGCACTGCATTGTTGTCTGTCACTGGTACGCAATGTCTCCGGAATTCGAGAAGCTTCAAGAAATTACTGCAAGAGCTGTGGCTAGAAATAGTAGCTTTTGCGGGATACACCTAACAACCCGTAGTAAAGAGTGGAAGCAGACTTCATCGAATATGTCGGAAGGCACTGAATCGTTGTGTGTCTCTGGCGCTCAAATTTTGCGGACTTTCACAACCTTCAGGGAACCCACTACAAGATCTGTGGCTAGAAGTAATGGATTTAGCGGAATACACCTAATAGCCCTTAGAAAATTGTGGGAGCAGACTTTATTGAATGTTTCGGCAGGCACTACATTGTTGTGTGTCACTGGCACTCAAATTTTCCGGACTTTCAGAACCGTCAAAGAACCTACTGCAAGAGCTGTGGCAAGAAGCAGTTGATTTTGAGAGATACACCTAAAAGTCCATAGGAGAAAGTGAGAGCAGACTTCATTGAACATGCTGGAAATCCTTATTTCGTTGTGTGAACTTGTAGTCAAATTTTCTGAACTTTAGGAACTTCAAGAATACACTGATAGAGCAGTAGCCAAAAGTCTTGTACTTCTGCTGGTTACCGCATGCCCAAACAAATCAGCATGGATGGAGCGCTACAGGTCCCCCGAAACCTTGCAGGAACATTCGAGTAAGAACATAATATTTCCAGCCCCTCTTTTTCTAGTTAGTATGGCCTCCCAGAGATTGGAGTCGAGGTCATCGAAAACAAGGGACTTGTGGCTTGGATATTAAACTGCAGAAAATCATCGCACGAAGACGGCAGCTCAACAAGGGAATAACAGCAACGTTGCCTTCTGAACTATGATGAACAATTTCGTAAAACTAAATGAGCCGTTAACTGGCCCTTTGGTTTAAAAATAAATGACAATTTTCTTGTTTGTAAAAAATAACGTGTGATGTAGGAAGCTGGCATCGCTCTACATATCACTACTGTATAAAAGCACTATGCTGATTATAAATGCCACCGGGTTCTGAGATACCTACACAAGTATTCAATTATTGGATACCAGCTATTTATTTCAAAAAAATTCAAGCAACTCACCATCAGCAACGTGAGATACCATGCAAGCAAGAATCACGATGACCAAAAGGAGCGGCATTGTTTCTTTCTGCTTTACCGCAGTTCTAGGAAAAGAAAATATGAATGACGCGGAAGCTTGCGTTAAAATCGTATTTAAAAAAATGCAGCACAAAACAACCCTTAATATTAGAGAAAATGTTCTCCCATAAGCACCAATATTAACACTTACTTCCCGCATTAATTAATGAACACTCGTATGTCGTCTCCACTACGCTAAATATGTGCTTGTGGGTGACTTCATCATCGCCTTTTCAGTACACAAATGCTTCGCAGTAAACACCCACACGACCTGGGTGGCACAACATTGATTAGAATAGCGGAAAATACTTAGCAATTTTTATAAAGCTCTCAGACTGCTTAGGTGAAGCTTTGCTGGGTTTTCAGTAATTTTGATGTTGAGAAAACAAATGATACTTGAAATCACGCTGTTGATTTGAGCCGTTACAGGTCATTTATTATTGTGATCTAATTGATTGATTGATTTGTAGGGTTTAACGTCCCAAAACCACTATATGATTATGAGAGACGCCGTAGTGGAGGGCTCCGGAAATTTTGACCACCTGGGGTTCTTTAACGTGCACCCAAATCTGAGTACACGTGCCTACAACATTTCCGCCTTCATCGGAAATGCAGCCGCCGCAGCCGGGAATCGAACCCGCGACCGGCGGGTCAGCAGCCGAGTACCTTAGCCACTAGACCACCGCGGCGGGGCTTATTATTGTGATCTAGCTCATAAGAATTATGGTTACTCTTTTTAGAGTTATTAAAGAAAAGAAGCTGAGGCAGCTGGACATACTTTTTGAACCAACTATTACTTTCGATGGTACGAATGAAGAAGTGTTCGCCAGCTTAAGGCTTAAGCCTCGTATACATTTGAGGGGACATAATGACGTAAAGAATTCGCGTGAGAAGTTTACGATCCCTTTTAGGCTTTTGAGGCATTCGCTTAGCATAGCAATAAAAAAGTGAAATGTCAAATGACCAGGCCTTAGCCGCGGGTGGGTAAGACATGGCAGGCCACTACGGAACAGCCTAGATCTGCTCACATTGCCTCTAATCGTAATAGTCATTGAGGGTGAGCGGCGATGGGTTAAGTTGCGGCAGTCATTTCACTAGTACGTCGTAAAAATTCAACGAAGCATTTCCACGTAATCGAACTTAAAATGTTGCCGTAATGACACACAGACATTCTGGTATTGCGGAGTTGATCAAGAGAGGCTACTGGCCTAACTGATTATCTGCAGAGAGGTAGAAATCAAATAGTAAAATTCTGAACCACACTTTCACATACACATATTTAGAAAAGTAAGCACACCTGTCATCCCGCAAAGTTTTAGAGAAGCGCACATTAAATGAGTAGGTTTTCAAGGCTGAAGATGCAGTGCTATGACATGACCCCTTTTGAACTACAACTTGCATACGCGATTGGAGATAGCCACTGCAGTCGATAGGAAACATCAAGTAGGAATCACAGGAGGCCTCTTCTCCTAACGAGTGGCATCCGCTTTTCCTTACAGTATGATCAAGTTAAGTTACATAGATTACTTTGCAGATGAAAGGGGCAGCTCATTGATGAGGCACAAGCCCACAAGTTATACGAATAATTATCTCTGGGCTTGCGAAAGACGGACATAAATGTATGTAGATGACCTGAAGGTGAATATATTCGACATAAAACTGTCTGGATGGGCCGAACTTTATACAACAAAAATGAATTTTACTCTAAATTTTCAGTCAAAAGTGTCTAGTAATAAAATAATAATAATAAACTACAAATTGGCCCCACGTTTCTCGACCGATTTGGCCTCTTCTTCAGGTGTGACTGCTCTGCCAGCTCCAGAGCTGGTCACTTTTCTTAGCGGTGCCACTCTCTTTGTCGTCCTTCTTTCCAACTTTCTTGTTTCTGCGATGTTGTCTTCCCTTGTTCCGCACACCGTGCACATGCACACTCAGCAAGGTCCCAGTGTTAGTGTTAATTATTTAAGGTGTTCTTTGATTATGTCAATACTCTAAAAACTACCTTTTCTAACTGTTACCTTTCGTGTCGATGACGCAGATGGCACCCATAATATTTCGATGTTTCATTTTGTTGCTGTGCTTTGCGACAGCATTTCGTGCAGTCTTAAGGCTACACCGTATTGTTTCCGGGGACGTGTTTTTGCTCACTGATGTAAATGGTGTAGCGTTCAGTGCATAAACCTAGTTGACTAGCCGAAAGATCCTCTCTTTTGGCAGCCTGTGTGTTGGTCACTGCTAGAGCCATCCAACTGCCGATGCGGGTTTGTGGGCCACCTGAATATGCTCCTTTCTCAACAATCTGGTAAGTTGGTCCATGATTCCCAGAGCGTATGAAGCCGTGACGCGGCAGGAATATCTAGGGGAGGCTCCATTGTGAGCGCTACTGTTTGCCAAAAAGGGCAACTGGGCGAAGTTTTACCAGCCATCATGACAGCGGCATACTTCGTGAATAAAGCTAATCGTATACCCAACGTCCAGGAGGTTGGTAGTGATCACTTCCTTTTCTTAACGTTTTATGTGGGTGCAGATTGCCCTTCTAGTTTTGGAGAGTACATAGAGTTATGAATCTTTCGTCTAACTCGATAGCGTTAAAGAGCTTGTTTCGCAGAAATTTCGGTGTCCGCGTTAGTGTAAGCGTTGGTGTGAGCTTCGGCGTCATTGTGAACCAAAATCATCACCTTATAGGTGAGCGAAAAGTTGAAAACGATGCAAAGAACATAGTTATTATTATAAAAACCTTGCAGCAGACTGGCAATTGAACCCTGGTCGTTTGCGGGGCAAACAGATGTAACACCGCAGTGCCACAAACTCTGTTTATAAAGCTGGGAAAAAAACTTCATCTGCTTGAAAATGCAGTGAATGTAGCTTTCATGTTTCACACAGACAAGCTTCGTGTATACATGCTTCAAAATGCAACATGAAATATTGCAGTTATGCGGCATGGTCAAGCGTCCGTTTCCAACGGGTGTCAGAATATGTTAATAACATTCTGGCTCCGTACTTGAAAGCTGGTAGCCCACCACAAAAGGCACACACCCTATTTCCTCTATTTGCTTAAAGCCATGTAGTGGGTGCATAGCAAATTTGAAAAGGTTTCATGCACTAAGTCTTTGAAGTACGCGCTGCAAACAGGATAACGGTATCGTGACATTCTATTCGCATGCGGCATCTGTTTTATATGCTACGAACGCATGTTAAATGCAGGCACATTAGCCCCATATCGCGTTCCAATTCACTGAGAGAAAATGAAAAATATGCATATATTCCCTTATTGCGTGTTATTACTTATCTCAAGATTTTTTCAACTATTAGGAAACAAAAACATAAACTACAGATGTGTTAAATAATTTCCGCCATGTCACGTGCTACTGTTGTCAACGTCAGAACACAGTCGTCTATGTAGACGACCAACGTCACAACAGTGTCGTGTACGTAGAGAAATACCTACGTGTACGCCATACTCTCATTCTATGGGCACGCGGCCACAAAATAAAGAGAGAGCAGCGTCTATCTTGTAATGTGACGCATTTACACGGCGCATAGCGTTGCGAATTTTGGCAGATGTGATCCTCAGCTTACAATTGCCAAGCCTGGTGAGTGGCCGTATCAACAACACCGGATGGTAGAAATAACCTGAAACTCCTCAATACAAAGTTGCGTATTGAAATAATTGTGATTAGGAATAGAACCTAATTTGTAAGCTTGCGCGTTATCTTTGCAGCAGCACTTTTAATGGACTTACTTTTTCTCTTTTGTTAACGAATGTGGTACCTATAGAGAGTGTTTTTACAAAGCATGCGTAGAAATTTGCTGTTGCAGACAGGGGAACAAAGATAATCTGGCTCTTTTGGCATGACCTGGATTAGCTGCTTGCATACATTTGTAAATGTACATTGTTGATTATTTCGCGCGTGACTGTCCACTTGTTTGATGCAATTTATGTACTATTCCGTGACCACTGATATAGTACTCAACAGGTGCTCTGGAACACGATCTTTCTGTAGCAATGAAAAAACTGGTTCTTTCCAGAGAAAACCCCAACACCTTTCTTTAAAAACGTGCTGTTGCATCTGCAATCGATGAGCCTCAGGCCGTTGACGTCCTTTACAAGAGTTCCAGTGACATGATATATGACATTTTCATATATATCATCACTGTACACTAGTAAAGGTATCGTCGCATAATCACAAAGTCACGTCGTGTGCTCTGGCTAGCTGGAGGTGAGCATCTTAGTGACACAAATTCAAAAGCATCCTTGATGTTGCTGAGCATTGCATATCTTGTCACTTCACAGTTTTTTTGTGCAGGTAGCCGTGAAAGCCTTGCAATTGAATTATTTTAGGGCTTTAGGACTCAACCATGCTTTTGGCAGTAGGGGCAAAGAAGGTCCCCAATAGGACTTCTTCGTAAACGGCGTCTTAGGATATTCCAGAAGCCAAATTCTGTCTTGAAGCTTTGCCGAAGGGAAAATAGGGCTTTTATTGTGATTAGTCATCTTTTGATGATGTGTGGCAGTTTTTCTTGAGGACGACCAAGGTGCCAATCAGCAATCCAATTTGTGCCCTTCTCTAGGAATGTGTGGTGTTCAGATCCACGTGGCACGACATGCCTCAATTTGTCGTCCTGTTTTCTCACTGCTGAACTTTTGAGGCTGTTGAGTAGCTTGTCCATTCTCTCTATGGGTTCTCCTGCAGCTTTTGCATCCATGGGAAGCTCTATAAGGGCCATGATAGGGGGTAATGCAACAGAAACAGATTCGCCTAAAACATGAGTAGGAAACTGCACTCTCAATTTAGCGAAGGGCATCCTGTAGATGTGTTAATCCCTGTGTTTGTTTTTTTGCCAATTTAATACTCAAATGTTTGGTAGGTTTGTTGGATGCCGAATCTGGTATTGAATAATGGTATCGAAACCAAAATTGGTAGGGCACAACATGACCCTTTGGCGAGCAATATTGACTTGTCATAATTTCGAAATTAAGACATGCATATCATTACTGTCATGAT